CGAGCATCTGCCTTTGTGGCCCGCTTAACAACTCTTAGATTTTAATTTAATATACATCCGACGGTTTAAATTTTACTAATTTTTGCAAATGTAAAACATTAAAAAACCACAATATGTACTTTTAATTAATATTTGTAAATATTAAAAAAATTAAACCAAAGCAGTGATAATAAAACTTGTTAAAACTTGATAAACTTATGTATGTAAATAAAAATTATTTGTTTACTGCACAAACACATTTTTTTTTTGTAGTTAGAAATTATTAAAAATTGATAACTGATCACGTTATTATTATCTTACACAATTTTTTTATTTACATTTAATTTAATGAACTACATTATGTTTATCTATTGTATCAATTTTTATACATTTTTTTCTAATATTATGAAAAATTATTCACTTAAATAAAAAAATCTTCAAAACAAGAGTAATTATATTAAAATTTCAATCCTTTATTAAATAAATTCTAAAATAATTTAAAAAGCTTAAGTTGCGTTTGAACAGTTGAATATGAGTGGATTTGCCAACTCTCTTTAGCAGTTGATTGCACCAATGACAGTTTGTTGTATTATGTAGGGTTCAACTGACAGTTCACAATAATATAAATCGCGATTCTAAAACTCTGCTTTAAAATTAGATGCGCTAGGTTTTATGGGTTTTAACAAATTTGATTTTATTTAATTGAATTCACTAACACATTTTTAAAAATAACTACTTTGTGCTACTTTTTGTACTAATTGTTAATGACCCGAAATGTACCCGAACATTTCTAGCAATTGAGCTAACTACTTATTTCGTAGTTACGTATTTCGTATTATAAGTACAATATTTCGTTATATGCCCGCTTCTCATACTTTTTATTTTTATAAGTACTAAAGTAGATATAATTTATTAATATAAGTTATAAGTCTCCACAATTTCTGGCTTTTTATCAGGACGATCGCGTTTCTCCTATAATCTCCATTTCTACGATCGTGTTAACAACAACTCTTTGCATAGAGTTTACTCTTAATCAGTAATTACTAACAAGAACATCTTCCCTCTTCCCCTTATTTATATGAATATATTTGTTGTCTAAATACTAAGCCTTCTGTGTCCCTAGTCTGCCTTTCCCTTGATCACTGGAAAATGGTTTCAGCTTTTGACCTAAACGGGCCTATAGTTGGAATTTGTCCATTTTGCATTCCTTAGAGATGGTTTTAGTGAGAATAAATCTATTATATACAGATAATACATCAGGTTATTATTTTTATTCGTTGTTTTGTAGGAGTTTATTCCTAATAACACATTTTTCAAACGAATTAAGATAAAAAATATTAAATTGTTTAAGTCAATTCTTAACTTCTGCTTTTTTTATCCTACAAATAGTAAAATTATATAAATAAAATCAATATTGTGAGATCACTCAAGTATGTTGAAGATTGTAAAACAATATTTTAAAGTGTTGGCTCGATTTATTAAAAAAAATTACAGTTCTTATTAATCAATAATACTTGTGTATTTAACTGTTTAAACTGTTGGTTTAATTTTTAATGGTTTTTTGGTTTTACTCTAAATAATACATAATAAATGAATATACAATAAAATTAATATTTATAATATTTCTTTTCATTCCCGCTTAACTGTGTCACAGATCAGCTAAGTAAATCATAATTGTTTTACATTTCAATATTTTTTAATTGTTTTTATAGATTGAAAAATTATGAATTTTTTAACAAGTTTTTAAATAAAAAAAAAATGTGCCACAACCTGAAATTTTTGCTTTGTGGTATTTGCATAAAAATAATTACTTTATTGTTATTATACATAAAGCTTTATGGTTTTTTGATTTCATACAATTAATTTTTTTTTATACAGACACTCTTTAATTGTACTATATAATTAAATTTATTCTTCAAGAATACATTGTTTTTTTTTTCTCACAAATGCGCATTTAAAAAGTATTCCACTAATTAACTTGTAAATAAAAATAATTAATTTTTAATAACTTCGAAAATTTAAATTTTCTGAAGAAGCTGTTGTGGAGTGGAGATTTGTACGGAGCTTAAGTCTCCACTCCACAGCAACTTCTTAAAATAAGTATGAACTTTTCTATTGTAATTATGAACAAAGTCTCCTTATAATCCTAATGAGAATGCCTTTCGTTAATTTCTTTTAAAGTTTATAATTTCTTTTAAAGTTAATTAATTTTAAAGTTTAATTTCTTTTAAAGTTTATAAAAAAAATTAAGAAATAATTCACGAAAGCCATTCCAATGGCTTTTGAAATTGAATTTCAAGTCTTGTATCTTTTAAGGGTCTTATATTTTCATGACACCTTTAAAATTTATATCTTTAAAAAATCTGTTTAACTTAAAATAGTCGATGAATCTCATTGTGTAGTTAAGTATGTATTGACTTACTGCTCGATTTAGTGATAACTGTATGACATGATATATTGATATGATTATTGAGCAGTCTGATGAAATATGGGATGCAAGGGGTATAGCACAAGAAGAAACAGTGTTAACTTAAACTGATTTACAAAACCGCAAAGCTAAACATTTTAATTAATTTATTTTATTAAAATATGTATACCACCTAAAACTGGTTCAAACAAAAATAAAAATAGTTTTTTTAGCGTTTGAAAAAAAAAAGTATAATAATAAGCGGTTTTTGTTGGTTTGAGTTAATTAAAAATTAAGAAACATTTCGTTTTTAACGTTTAATTTATTATTCAT